GTAAAACAAAATGAATCTTACAATAAGAAAGTGTTTGGATGGAATTAAAACCATAGTTTTAAAAGTGTTTTTATGGTATATAAAGTAAATATGTGGAGAAGTTTATCTCGATTTGCGAAATAGTGCTTTTCAGAAGCACTTCTGGTGCTATCTAAACACCCCTAAGAGTTGGAGCTAGTATATTATTATAGTTTCATCAGAATACATAAAATATCATTATGTATTTAATAGTTCTCATTATCAATAATTATACTAATGGTTAACATGATATTCTTAAAAGCATAAAATTATTGTGTTGTATGTTTTTAAATTCAAGCAACTATATGGCATTATTATCTTCCACATGGGTGCAAATGAAGATAAATACATAATCAATAATTAAATAATACTTGATATTAAAATTATAAGAACTGAGTTGTGATAAGTTATGGTTTACGATTAAAATTTAACTAAATTAAAATTATAAAAATTGAGTTACACTAAGTAAAAAATTTAAGAACTGAATTACTACAAAATCAAAACTGAAAAAAAAGATGATGAATTTTTCTAACGACTAATAACATCGGATATAGAGAGGCGTGGCAGAGGGGGAGATTTTGAAAAGCACGTGCGGTCTATAAATGACACGTCAACATCTTCCCTCCACGACGAAACGGATTCATTCTCTTCTCCTTCCTTTGTCCCCTCCCCATCATCACTTCACTTCCTTACCTTCTTTATCATTACAATATTTTTTTTATTTAAATTTTTTTAATCCTCTCTGTGTTTTTCTCCACTTCTTCGTTCCAATAATAATAATAATAATAATAATAATAATACTTCTAATTTTTAATATAAAGTTTAATACATTTTGTTTCTCATATTTATTTATTTTTTTAAAAATGATTTTCGTAGTAGTTACACAAATTAAATGTTTCATCAAATTATAGTTCTGGTTAATACATATTATCAGTAAGTATTTTAAAAAAAGTAATATATATTTATTATAAACAACTAACTTAACATGTTTGTTTAATCTATTCAAATTAATTAATTAGCTCTCGTGCGAATATTAAGTAGCGGTGAAAGTAATATAATTTCGGTTTCCTTTCTCGCCCGTGAAAATGGCACATTATGTCGGCGCATGCATATCAACCCCACCGATGGATGGATTTCAAATGAACAAATCTCATTTTCATCAATTCAAATTGGCCTGTGCTTGCTGAGTCCAGCATCACACTTGCAAATAATTTCTTAATTGCTGCTAAATAAAAATCTCACCACCTGCAACTCTTTATTTACACACACACACACACACACACAAGTGCTTTTGGGATGTGGCTGACAATGAACGCCACCACAAATATATATAGGTTCCTTCCATGGACACACACATTAACGTATTTTATTTTTATCTTCTATGTATTGTTTTTGCTTCGGCACGTACGTTCAGGTTTTATTTATCACACACACACACACACACAAAACAAAATGAAAACATATTCAAAGATCTTTCTTTGCATATACATGTTTAGATAGTTTAGTGATATTTTTCCCTCTTCAATCTCATCGCTTTTGTGCTGTGCCTTTCTGCCTTATTCAGAACCCGGAACTTCCGCAAACAATCTCGAACCAGCTATGTACTTACTAAATGAAAACACACACACACACACAAACATGTATTTTTTATTTAAAAAAAACTAGTTTATATATATAGGGATTAGAGGGTTAAAGAAGGAATTAAAAAAAGGGAGGGTAACAAAATTTGATGAAGACGAGGGGTCAACCCTAAGCTGTCTTAATAGTAACGTCACTTGCCTTGTTTGGATAAGGTTTCGGGTTTGAAGCTGGCTTGTGTGTGTATTTAAATTGCTTGTTATAAGATTAAAAAAAAAAAAAGAGGAAGAAAAGGGTTTTAATGTGGTGGCTTTTGTTTTTTTTTTTTTAATTGTAAGCACAGATTAAAGGAACATGGATATGGACGCTAGGCTCTCCTGATTGCCCCACTTGCACCCCAACTTGCATTTCTTATATCCCTGTTACAACTCACATCGTTGTGTGTATATATAATATATATTTTCAATCACCACAATATAAATATATATATAGAGAGAGAGAGAGAAAGAGAGAGATTGGGAATATTGAGAAGGAGGCAAAGAATAACAACTTGACTTAGTTTACAAATCAAGTTGAGTAGGCAAAGGCAAGTTGCGTTTGATTCGTTCGCCATAATACTCCTCCGGTCCTTATTATAAGACCCAATTTGACTTTTTATTTGGTCCTAATTATAAGACCCAATCCATTTTGTCTCTTATATTTATGCATTTTTTTCCAAGATAATCCTTTTAATAATGATAGTTTTAGCCAATATACTTAATTAGCAAGGATATTTTAGAAATGACAAGACTTATTTATTATAAATAACCAACTTAACTTACTTCCTTAATCTCCTCAAATAAGTCAATTGGGTCTTATAATTAGGACCGGAGGAGTACTAAATTAATTACTACTAAAATGGCGTCGTAATCCTAATTTTTATATTCACAATCATCATAGCTTCCTTCCATCCCACAAATTAAATACTAATAATTATAATTATAATCCTTCTTCCTCCCTTCTTTTTTTTTTTGATGGAAAAATTTTTGGAAAGGGGTTGGGCTCACCCACGGTCTAAGGGCAGGGCGAAATCTCCCTTCCTCCTAAGTCATACCAATGTTGGGCAGGGCGAGCCGTCAATTACCCTCAGGCGTTTACCTAGGCACCCAAGAGCTAGGATGCCTCCCCAAGCGCCGCGACTGGAACCACAACAAAGTAGTACTCCCCAGGGATCGAACACATGCCAACTTGATCATATGTCTCACCCCTTCGCCAGCTGAACCCACGGACGATGGGTTTCTTCCTCCCTTCTCTATGCAACTACGATGTTCATTGAGTTGTTGCGGCCAGTATTTTTTCTCCTTTCAATTTTTGTTAAAATATCTTTTTCATTCCCCAAAAGTTAGGGATTAATTTTGATCGATTTCTCCTTAACTATTGATCACTTTATATGTTATTTTCATTTTTCTCTATTTAAAACAATCCTCCACATCAAATTTTGAATACCAGCCACCTATTATTCATGAATTTGCTTATTCATCTGTCGCTTAAAGATCAGTTGAACTAAATATTAAGTGTTTAGAAAAATTGAACGTGAAACGGGAAAATTCTTCATTCTAAAACCGCGTGCTCCCAGTCATAATCAAAGCAAACGAAACAAAAACAATTTACATATGTTGTTAAAGAAATATAATTAACAATTTTTGTTCATGAGTTGACCCTTCAAACTTCAAGCGCTACGTATCAGGGACAACAAGGTTTAAAAGGTCAAGCCAAAAGAACCATAAAATAAAAGTATATTATAATAAAAATGCTGGCAGTAAGGAATGATCATCAAATCAAGACTAGATAAATTGAAAACACAGCTTGGTGACGTGAAAAGACGACCATAACTAATAAACGTATACTTAATTGTGAAAGTAAATATAGGTATATAATATGAGTATAAAAACAAAAATTCCAAGTTTATATAGTTGGATTTTTTACAATAAACATAGTAATAATGACAATCAGTATATATATAAAAAAAACTGCTAAAAGTCATCCTATTGAGCATTTATAGAGAGCTACAAATAATACAAGTTTTAGAGCCGAGTTGATGATATTTTATTTTAAAAAAAGATGAAAAGACGAGCATAAAAAACTCAATAAAGATATTAAAATGAAGTTGAGCCAAATGTTTTTTTTTGGGGGGGGGGGGACCGAACTCTGATCTGCAGCAAACTTAGACAGAGGTGCATTTCATTGCATTGTTGAGCCTCAAACTTGGCTCCCTTTTTCATTCCTTTCATTTAATCGCTCAATCATTTAATGCTAAATAATGCTGATCTCCTATTTCTGCTCACTCTCTGAATTAAATCTTCCCTCTCTGTTCCTGAAAGCACTCTAAACTAACTAGCACATTAATTCGCTCAAGCCAGGCCCTCGCTTAGGGCTTGTTTGCATCTCTAAGTGCTTATAAGTATTTTTACCTAAGTTGAGACAACATTTTTCTTATATACTTATCTCATATTTTCCAAATCATGATTTAGAAGATGCTTTTGAAGGCTCTAATCACCCATTCCAAACAAACTCTTAAAATTGCAGATATAATTCTGACTTGTCTGTCATCTTTTCTGATATTTGACACTTCATTAAAGTTTTGCTTACTTGTTCCCATGAGAAACACTTAGTGAAGCATTTATGTATTATTTTTAAAAATACTCACATATCTAATTACTTTATATCAGGGGACTTTTCTGACTTTTACTGGTTTGAAATATAAAAGTTAACAATTTTAACTATAGCAGTAATTTTGGAGAATGTTACAGTAATTTTTGGGGGAAAAATTAAAATTCTTCAATAAATTTAACCATTTTTTTTTTAAAAAAACCTGATTTAGTTAAAAATGTCTTGCAAATTAATTGAACTGGAAGCAAGGATGGATTCAAAGACATAAAATTTTTCCAAATTTGAAATTGATTATCAGCAAGGCGAGGATCTTTCAAAGTTGAAAAATGCTCGCCAAGTTTTTGATCCTCCTCTTTTTGGCTGTTACTATTCTAACTTTACAGCGCTTTTCCCGGCGGGTCTCTACATTTCTGACCCCTCACTTTGTTTTCCCAATAACATAAACACATGTTTCCCGTCATCATTTGTTCATTAATCCAATAGTCATAACCAACTCTCTTTTGTTGTTTTTTTTTGTTGATAAAGAAGCTAAGGGAGTGATTTGACATGAGATAATTTGCCAAATTGATTTTCGCATCATATTGGTAAATTATCTCTTAGTAAGAGTGCTAAAAACATGTGGCTCTCCGGAGTGCATTTGACAAGTCTAGCTCATTCTAATTTAGAGGTGTTTTTAGGTTTAAAGGTAAGTGGGAGGTCGGAGGCTGGATCTGCTTGTAATCTCATACTTTTATAACAACCTCTTCCTTAAAAAATGAATCCAATAAAAATCACTTTAACTTGTAATTAATTTCATGGCTTCACCACAAAACAGAATTTACATAGGAACACGACATGAAGGATCGACCAAGTTTGATGGGGATAACATTTTGGGCAAATAGAAGCAATCCTCGATCAGAGCGAACGGTGGAATGAAAAAAAAATTAGAAGAAGACTATATGCAAACATATATAACTAATTTATTATATATGCACATATATCACATTCAACCATTGCCGTCCGATCGAGACCCTGCCAAAAAACCTAAAGCGAGATCTACCCATTCGTTCCCAATACGGGTGTATTTCATTGATCTATGCCCCGACTCAAATGGATACAAGATCCGTACCCGCATTTGAAACAGAAAAAACCCGGAATCATACACCACTGACTGAAACAGAAGAAGAGTTTGAGAATGTGTGAATTTACGATGATAATGGCGGTTTCTGGTCCCTTCTGGCCATGTTCTCCGCGATCTGAGCCAAGGATTGCAAGTTGCACCGTACGATGGTGTCCACGAACACGCATGTCTCTTCCTTCGTGTTGCCCGGCGGCACATCGACGACGTACGATTCGATGACCACCGTCTCGTTCCCATGCGCGTGCAAGGTCGTGACGGAACGGTAGTTGCTCAGGCGGTGGTCCCCTCCGACGACGCTGAAGCTGATGACGTGGCGCTCATCGTCGAGGATCTCCAACCGCTCGGTGCTGGACACCGCGGGAAGGCCGGACACCACGTGGACCTCTCGGACGGCGCCGACGTGAATGCCGCGGTCATCGCCGTCGATGACCTGGCAGCTCTTTACGAAATGCTTATAGCCCTGGGGGTTATCAAAGCGACGAACCACGGACCAGACGGTGGAGACGGGCGCGTGGATGGACTGGATCACGACGGAGCAGCACTGGCCTGGCCCTACCTCGTGCGCGTGCTGGAAAAGAACCGAGTCCGGAACCGGAGGAAGATCAAGCTTGGAAGAGGAGAGAGGAACAACAAGGCGGCGCGTGGAGAGCGTTGGAGGCTGCTTGTGGCAGTCCAAGGCCGTGCCGGGATTGAAGGGGTGGTGGAGTTGAAGGGAAGAAGAAGGCATGATGACGAAGAAGAAGAAGAGGGGATAAATCCGGCCGGCGAGGGGTGGGAAAAATAAGGAGGTTGAAGAGGGGAGAGTAGCATAGATGGAGTTATATGTGGAAGGTAGAGATTAATTTATTTTTGTTATAGTGCAAGTTGCATCAAGTCTTTAGTATTTTTTGTTTTTTTTTTATTTTTTATAGGTTGGTTATGGCATGGTTGAGAGAGAGAGAGATGATTTTAAGGAAAAGGGAAGCTTACGCTTACGCGGGAGTTGCAAGTGGATGCTGCAAGTTGCACTTGTTTGGATTTGATTTTATAGCATTTTTCTTCTTTTTCATGTTCTAACTTCCAACTTTTCCACTTCATTTTCCTTTTTTTATTTTCACTTGCCTCTTGCCTAATCCAATAACTAGTCTCCACAATTTATTTTATTTTTGGCCACCAACAATTTAATAATCCATTCAATTAATGCTCTCCCCGTCAAATAGTAATTTTATTATCTTTTCATAATTCGCATACCCATTATATTCTCTAAGAAAACAATTTAAACTCATGACTTTTTGTTAAAAAATTTCTCAAAAAATCCTCTTATCATCAAATAATAGTTTCAATATTTATTAAGTTTGTCTAATTTTATTATTTTAAGAATTTATACAATAAAACTAAGAAGTATTGACAAATTTAGATCTAACTCAAGAACAAATTAGATTTTTTTTCAGTCCAATTTTTTTTTGCAAATCTTGGAAAAAAAATAATATTCGCATTCTGTGTGTGTGTATATAACACCTATAAAAGAATTATATAAAAAAAATTAGGTTGCATAAATAAGATGAACACTAGTTATTTAGTTGCTCGAAAATGGCGCTGCGCCATCTTATTATAATACTACTGCTATAGAAAAGTATATATTTATAATTGATAAGTACCATCCAAAGAATAGGTACCGTGGTCCTTAATTAATTTTTTAATTTCTTTCCGTTGCGGTTGTTCCGTTCAACTCTTATCTGATAAGTCCCGCATGCTTCGATTTTTTTTTTTTTCCTTTCGTGGTTTAATAGAATTTTGAGTACCTAAAATAAAATTTGAACTTATTTTAATTTTAATCTCTCAATTTATAACTGTCACAATATTCTTTTTATTGTCTAAATACTACCTCCGGTCCTAATTATAAGAGCCAGTTGACTAATTTGAAGAGATTAAAGAAGTAAGTTAAGTTAGTTATTTGTCCTAAATAGGTGTTGTCTTTCCTAAAATATCCTTGCTAATCAAGTGTATTGAGTAGAACTCTTATTATTAAAAGGGTTACTTTGAAAAAAAGTATAAATATGAGAGACAAAGTGGACTGAGGTCTTATATTTAGGACCAAAATAAAAGTCAAATATGGTCTTATATTAAGGACCGGAGGTAGTATTAAAAAATTAAGACATTCTAGTGCTCATTTTCACCATGTATAAATTAAACCAATAATTAGGATAAACATGAAAATTAAAACTTCTATAAATACGGATACCGCCAATATATTGGATTCACTCAAGGTATTAATCCCTGAAATTTAATCCATCTTAAAATGTTAGTTTAGAGAGGTGTAACGCTATTAAAATTTGCTGAAGTATTATAAATAATGTTAAAATAAATAGTGTTAAAGTAATGATGTGGACTCACTAAATAGCTTATAAGTGGATCTTGCATAGATAATAGAGAAAAAAGAAGAAGCAAAGAACAAGTACTTTTTTTCCTTGCTATAATTTGTTATTTACACAAGATCCAACTAAGCGTTTCTTTTTATTAGAATTAATCATATTCAAGATATTATCAAATACTAAACGTAGACATTATGTTCCGGAAGACTAGTCCTTCCATTAAATCCAACTCCCACCGGGGCCTTCTGGTTGATTTTTAACCAAAACATGTGAAGGCAGAAGAATTAATTTTATTTAAATGTAAACAAGAATTAATGTTATTTTTATTTATTAACTGTGATTAAGTTGGGTAGAAAATACTCCATTCTTTTTAAAATAAGATTGACAATGGAACATTGTAGATGCGGAAAAAAAAAGAAAAAATTTAATTTTAGCTAGATTTGACAAAACTTGAATTTAACTTGATGTTATTTCCACAAATTAGATAAGTATATCAAATAAGGGTTAATTTTACTTTAAGACGCTTTCAAAGTCCGTCATTTCAAAAAATAATTTCAAATTTCATTTAATCTAGGAAATAATATGAAAATATTGTCAGAAAATATTCAGAAAATATTTAAAACAAGCACGTAATTATCAATGACACGGTTCCAAACTGTTCAACATTTATGCGGTTCTTTAGTAATTAGTAGAAATGCATAAAACATCATTAAACAGTTCGATGATGATTAAAAAATCATCTGAGCAGAAGGTAATAAAGACACTGAATTGATTTGGAGCTTAATCACGGGAGAGTGAAGTATTATATATATTTTTAATTCAAATGAAGCTGAAAATTCAATATGATTATGGAGGGTCAAAAATTAGAAATTCACGTGACGATGAAATTGAATAAAGTATTTTGACCAAAAAAAAAGAAGAAATTGAATAAAGTATATATCTTATTCTGGCCTCCAAATTTTTTTTTAATGAAAAATGTAACAACGACAACTCAAAATTATCTTCTTTTATCAATAAATTATATATATAATTTAATTTTTCAAATGTGTTAAGCACATTAAAACTCAAGGAAAGATAAAGAAAATCAACAAGAATGACGGTTTTTTCACCCAAAGGAGTATATATATATGTATATCAATATATTTAATTTAATACTCTTCCGGTCCTTAATATAAGACCTATTTAACTAATTTGATTAGATTAGCAAAGATATGTTCAGCTCAAAAAAAAAAAAAGATTAGCGAAGATATGTAAGTTAGTTAATTATAAAAAAATATGACATGTTTTTTCTAAACCACCATAATCATCTTCCTTAATATCCTCCTCCCTCTTTTACTTGATTATAGTTGGAGAGTATCCATAGGAATAATTTAGGAAAAATTTATAAACGTGAGAAATATATTTTATATTTAGGATCAAAATTAATTCAACAATTAGATTCTATATGAAGGACCAGAGGAGTAGTTTGGAATGTTAAACTCAGTACATTTCAGTCAGCTTTATCTAACTTATAAGTCAATTTATAATATAGTGTCATATGAGAATATTTTAAAGAGATTGTTTTCATAAAAAAAAATATTTTAAAGAGATTGTATTACATTTGTTATGATTAACTTTAATCTATTCCATTTAGTTAAATAAATTTTGTATTAAAGATCAAATAATATACCACCTATGATCCTAAGTATAAACTTTTGATTATAAATACAAGATCTTAATCTATTTTATCTTCAAAATTTATAACTTTTTTAACTATTCTTATCAAATGCATATAATAAGAAATTTTCATATAATAGTTCCGATACAATTGATGGTGTTTTAAGAAAATCAGCATAATTTTTTTTATAAATAATTAATTCGAGTAATTTTTTTAATTTAATTAAATTAGTTATATAAATTTTATATTAAAATTAGAAGGAGTATATAGTAAGTGAAAAAAAGGACAAAAACTATTATGCAAAAACTTACCGAACCCGTATGTCCAGGACGAACAAGACAATTAAATTGGCTAAGAAGTCACCACCACAAATACACATTTTATAAACAGTAAAAAGAATCTTCGGCTTCATGTATAATATATCTTAAAATATGCTTTTCACATTATTTAAGAGAGAATTCGAAAAATGAGTCATACTATATATGGCTTAGTATTAACTTCATATTTTATATTAATTAATGAGATTGATATTGATTTGTTAAGTTGATGTTCAAGTTTTATTTTTTGATCATGACATCAGCTCCCACAGGCTTTTAAGTCTTGAATTGTCTGGAAGCCTCCTCTGTTTAGAAGTTCTAAGTCCTGGTCAATACAAATTAGAGTTCAACTATATCTATGATTAACAAAGGGTGATTTCATATTAGTCACACTTCATTGGTTTCCAAAAACAAATCTGAATATCTGACATCACCCCTCTCTATTATTTTTGCAAATATGTTTTTGGATAATTGAGCAAAACGAGGAAAAAAAACTTCTTAAATTGTTTCTTCTAGAATAAAGCTATTATATTGCTTGGACTTCTTAGAGTTACAAAAAGATGTTTTAACATTATTATTATTCAAATTAAGTGTCTTAACATCCATTCCATCTCTCAAACCAAACGTGCCCTCAACTTTTGTCAAGTTCAGATCTTGAATGTAATTTTCCCTTGCTCTTCTATCGAAAGTATCATCTTTATTTTAAAATAATAGCCTCATCTTTTAGGTTATATATATATATATATATATATATATATCTCCTTACCAAAGCAGGTTGAATTTTGAAGAGAAAGCATTATTTTCATGATTGCATGGATGCAGCCAATATTGTGGTCGAAGAAAAGAAAAGTAATTGACACAGAGAGAGAGAGAGACAAAGATATTGCGCCGGAAAACAAATTGAAATCAGTGATTGAACTCGAATCCTTGAAAAAATGTGGACAGTTGAAATTTAATTTATGATTTTGTAAAAGTATTACCAGAATATTAAAGTTTTAAATTTTAAAAAGTAAATAAATTCAGGCAGTTAATATTTAACTGAAACAATTATTTTTAAAATAATGAAAAAAGGTGGGGAGAAATAAAATGGCTGAAAACCCTTTCGTGACGATCTGTTTCGTGTTTTCTTCCATGATTGTCCCAATCAACTAGCCCACATCTTATTGCTTCTTTCCATTTGCATACTTTTTTTTTTTTTGGGGTTTGGTAATTATACTCAATTTCACTTTAATCATCCATATCATTGGCTAACGTTAACAACGCAAAGAGACTAAGAAATAGCCAATCAGAAGGGCATACATAGGTTTTCCCGTCGATTTTACTCTTCCAACTTTTGGTATCATTCCATGTCTCCTTTGAACTCTCTCTTTTGTCTTCTCTTTCCTTTCAATGTCAATGAATTAGCCTCCGCCAGCACCAACTTTGTTTTTCTTTCTTCTTTCCACGCGCGTCTTTTGCATGTTTTCTGCGTTTATATATATATATATATATATATATATATATATGTATGTATATATCCCTTTCAAGATGAGAGAGAGGGGAGAAATTATAAACCTAGGATGGGCTAAAATCATACATAGAGTAGAGTTGATCCTAATTTTGTAGTTTTTATGTGGAAGAGTTTTTTTTTTCCTTTTAAAAAAGAATTCAATATATAAATATGTAATTTCCCTGACAAGAGTCGATCTATTTAGAAAGGAGTTGATTCCAAAATTATAAGATCAAGAGTTCAAATCACATTGCCAATATAAGGACTTTGTTGATAAGCAATCTATAAGTATTTCTGTAAGTGTTCTTTGAGTTTAGAAACATGCTTCTGGCCCTGGTGATTAGTGAATTTATAAAACCCAACTCACTTAAACCTATGTATTAAAGAAAAAAAAAGTAAATTCATCACGAAAGAATAAAATATATTGCTCGCTGGCTCTTGGAATCACTTTTCTCTGGACTCGCAATGCACTCATGAGATACTTCACAGTACATTCATTGCATATGCAGTGCCATAATAGCCTCGAGCAAATTGCTTGATAAAATATTATATTATTTTCTTTACACATTTATACAGAAAAAGTCAGACTAACCATACCCAAGAGAGAAAGAGTCAAACTAATAATATAATATAGGCATTTCGAAGCAATCCACTGATATTCCGAGAGAAGTGCAGGCCCCTGCTGCTTCTTACGGGGAAGTTCCCAAGTAAATTACACCTAAAATTAGGTCAGAAAGATACAGTTAGCCAGAAATCTTCATCAGATAATCAATTTGTAGCAAATATCCTCTGCCTATATTCTCGATCTTCACCTTACTGCAATCCATATCTAAAATGCCAAATAATAAGCTAACACTGTTCGGATTAACAAGAGCAGGTCATGGCAATTTTGAACACATGAAAGTGTATGAACGCAACATGTACGCACTTTAGCGCATATGAACATAAAGAAACTGCTAAAAGATTACTCACACTTGCAGAGCATGGGGAAAAAGAGCATTTAGCTTACATCAGTTGGTTGAAGCCTTCTCATCTTTCATTATCACATGGAATATTTTAGACTTGTCTTCCGCAATCATTTCTTGTAGGATATCATCTTCAAGGTTTTCTGCTTGCCCTTGGGATTGATCCTCCACAAAATCCTCACTAAAAATCATCCTTGAAACCCACTCTTTCCAAGTGGTTCTGCTATACTTTTGTTCCTCCATTGTGCCTGTCACCAAAAGCTGATACACATAAACAATCCTTTGCTGACCAGGACGAAAGGCACGGGCAATAGCTTGCCTTGTTCTGGATGGATTCCACTCCGAGTCCAACAAAATCACACGAGAAGCTGCTGTCAGACTAATGCCTTCAGAACAGGCTGTAATTGACGCAAGGAGTACCTTTGATGCTCCTCCAGGTTCCTCAAACTTATCCATGACTCTCCCCCGTTCAAAGAGATCTTGTTCCCCACAAAGTACCAAAACCTCACGATCTTTCTGCCACCCAAAGAATTTCTCGAATAGTTCTACAAACAGTCTCATAGGTGCAGTGTAGTGGGAGAAGACAAGAGTCTTTTCCTCCTTGACGACACGAAATACAAGGCTCAAAACAAACCGTACTTTTGGCCCTATCTTCAAATCAAACTTGCATTTTTCCAGCTCCCTCAGTTGAGCCTCAGCTAAAAACTTACCAGAGCATGCAACCGTTTTGATTAGCCACGGATGTATTGCTGCCAGGGTTACCAAAAGCTCCACCTCCATAGGATAACGATTTGAGTCGGCTTTTTTCTCATGGAGTACCCGAAAAATCTGATCTTGACAATCAGTAATATTCATTAACAAAGTATAAACATGCAAACCAGGAAGACTATCAGAACTTCCACCTTCATAAACATCTATAAATCCATTTGTGATCTTTCTTAGCATGTTTAGACCCTGCAGCCTCTCATCATTATTATCAGAGTCTATTTTCTTTGCAATTTTATCTAAGAAGAATTTTCTGGCTCGTGCTTCTACAAAGTTCAGTTCTCTTTCAGCTCCACCTTTTTGTCTCCTGTATTTGGGGTCTAATTCTCTCAGCACTTCATGAACAAATTTTGGTCTTGCCAAGCAGAGAGTGTTGAAGTATTCACAGAAATTGTTCTGAAACAATGTACCTGAAAGTAGAATTCTCAATTCTGTCTCTACTTTCATTAAGGCTTTCCTCAAACATGATTCTGTACTTCTAGGATTGTGCCCTTCATCCAGAATAAGAACCCCTGGACTTTTCCTCAAGACTTCAGCCATATACCTTCTGTGTGAAAACTTTGAATTCTCTCCCATCAGCCTAAGAAAGTAAGTATAACTCATGACTAGAACACTAGGGTGCGAAAGCCACTTCTTTATTTTTTCCAGAGAGTCCAAAAGATGACTGACATCACCAGTGGGCTTCGGAACACCAGGAATAACCACTGACTTCTCCCTGGATACTCCTTGGGCTCTACGTTGAGATTGAATCAGATACACTGGAATAGGAATTTCCCATTTGATAAATTCTTTGTACCACGTATAAAGTGTTGTCTTTGGAGCAAGGACCAAAGGTCTCTTTCCTGGGAACATCTTCAAGTAGCTTGCAAGAAATGCAATAATTAGGAAAGTTTTTCCAGCTCCAGGTGAATGAGATATCACACAGCCACCTATTCTTTTAGATGCACCTTTCACAGAGGCTGGTTCCACAAATCCAGTAATATTTTTCCAAAGAAATTCAAAAGCCTTTTTCTGGTGGTCATGCAACTTACTAGTAAGTTCGGGGATCAGTCGCCAGATATCATTTTCTTCAGATACAGGCGGATCAATTGAAGTGTGACCTGAGGAAAGATGTAAACTATCATTCTCATCGGCCCTCGCCTCCAAATTTTCAGCATTCCACTGCTTTTCATCTTGTTGCCATCCCAAATTCTGCACCTGGTAAAACAAACAAAGCTCTCAAACACTTAGTGAGAACACATAAAACAGATAGCCAGAATTAGGATATCGTAGTCAATTTAATTTAAATTGGTAGAGCTTTGGCAAGTGCAGAATAAAGAAGCCATAGGATAACAATTTTCTTCGTTCTATTCTACAATGCGTTTGCAAATCTTCCTTTGCTTGATCATCAGTGCATGAAGCAGAAATTGTCAAGATGCCTGTTATCTCAATCTAGATAACAAGCAGAGAAACCAGAATGCAAGAATGGGGGAAAAACTCAACACTAACACACGCACAGGCGCGCACACAATTTTCAATAGTTTCAAATTCAAACTTACAAATGGCGGTGAGATGTCTTTTATCTCTGTGCTCACAAAGCCACAATCCCAGCAGTAAATCCCAATTTCTTCATTCAATCTAAACTTGTGTTGACAAACTTCGTTGGAATTTTCCTCAGTCTCAGAAAAGATGGCAGACTTCGAAACCTGATAAGATATTTTAAATTTAATTGAATGATCATTAGAAAGGAATATGACAATGGAAGAAATGCTGATTGCTGGTTGACAGAATCGCAGAAACTAATACAAACTCTTGTTTTCCCACAGAATTAAAAAAAAAAAAAAAAATCCTCCCCCACCCCACCCACTAAAAAAAATCAGAAGGGCATAACTAATGTACCTCAGTGTTATCAAAAACATAATTTGATGCTAATGCAACTTCCATTTCTTTCCATAACATATCAATTTCAGAAACTTCTCCATCAGCTTCTGCTCCCCTGTTTTGCCCAAAGTCGCTTGCTGCCTTAAATTCTACCCACTGGTTATTTATAGGCGGCCCCCCCTTATTTGGCGCCGTGTCAGTATTCTTTAAGTAAAAATCTATCAATTCCTTGCAGGCAGCATCACTCAAGGATCTGTTTCTGTAAGTTCTTTCTTCCCCGTGACTTTTACTTCTTGCCATTGGTGAATGAGATTTTTTACCTTGAATTTCTTTATTGGAACATATCCCTTCCCATCTATTTTCAGTATCCATGCCCTCCAGACCAGATAAATCTTTCCTCTGCACATTACAGGTACCAAAACAATAACCTCTAGAAGATTTTGCAGAATTTCCAGCATCACTCAAGGATCCGTCTTCCTTAATTCTTTCTTCCCCACAACTTTTACTTCTTGCCATTGGTGAATAATATTTTTTCCCTTGAATTCCTTCATTGGTACATATCCCTTCCCATCTATTTCTAGAATCCACCTCCTTAAGACCAGGTAAATCTTTCCTTTGCACATTACAGGTACCAAAATAATAACATCTAGAGGATTTATCACCACAACCAACCTCTTTTGCAGAATTTCCAGCATCACTTAAGGATCTTTCTTTGTAAGTTCTTTCTTCCCCACGACTTCTACTTCTGGTCATTGGTGAATGATATTTTGTCCCTTGAATTTCTTTATTGGAATGCATCTCTTCCTCTCTATTTTCAGCATCCTTGTCCTCCAGACCAGGTAAATCCTTCCTCTGGATATTAGAAGATTTATCACCAATCTCTTTTGCAGAATTTTCAGCGTCACTTAAGGATCTGCCTTTGTAAGTTCTTTCTTCCACACAACTATTACTTCTCGTCATTGGCGAGTTATATTTCTTCCCTTGAATTTCCTTATCGGAATGGATCCCATTCCATCTATTTTCAGTATCCCTGTCCTCCAGACCAGATAAATCCCTCCTCTGGACATTACACCTATCAAAACAATAACCTGTAGAAGATTTATCACCAATCTCTTTTGCAGAATTTTCAGCATCACCAGAGGATTTGTCTTTGTAAGTTCTTTCTTTCCCACGACTTTTACTTCTTGTCATTGGTGAATGATATTTTTTTTCTTGAATTTCTTTATTGGAATGTATCCCTTCCCACCTCTTTTCAATATCCATGTCCTCCAGGCCAGATAAATCCTTCCGCTGGACATTACACGTACCAAAGTAATAACGTGAAGAAGATTTATCATCAATCTTGATTGCAGAATTTTCGGGATCAGGAACTTTTGATTGATGATCATAGGGATCAAATGTCCATGGATCAACAATTTTCCTGTTCAGTTTAGGGCTATGAATCTGGTGATTATATTCAGAAACGACACAATTTTCATGCCCAGAATTTCCAGTACTAATGGTATTGACAAAAGAATGGTCAAGGGCCACTGGACCACCTCCGCCAGGCAGAGAATCACTAGCAAGTTGAGTCTCATGACCTTTCTTATCAACATTATCTAACCCCACCTTCCCACTTGCAGTCCTACTGTTGTTCGCTAGGACCTCCTGGCAGGTATTTGTCTTAATATTTTGACAAGCATCTATGTCCTTTTCTAGACAATTTGCCAGTAAATCAACATCATCTTTGTCACCGTTGTTTCTCGTGTTGGACTTGGGTAAACTGGTTCGAACATGACCAAAATCCAACTTAGAGACATCATCATAACCAAGATAGCGTTCAGGTTCTATGTTACGACGTTTGGAACGCCGTAAGCCCTCAATGTGAGAAATTGGTGAGATCTCATCTTCATATGTAACTTTTGTTTGGTCTACCTTATTGTTGTCAGATGGAAAGACTTGAGAAATAATGGGTACTGACATCCCGTTGTCTACTCTGAAATTTACATGTTTAAGAGAATTATAGTTCAATGAAGAGCTAGAACATTCACGTCCCAAAATTTGATACACAATCTTGCTTTCTACAGATCTTATACAGAATGAGACCTGCTTTAAAACTGATGCAACAACTAACCATGAAACATCAGATAAGAATTTTCCCAAAAACAATTTAGTCTTTCGTGCTTCAAAGCAATCCTCAGATAAATCCCAGCGGTAATGCTGATCTTCACAGGGATTATCAAGCTTCTGAAGGATGGATATTTGATTTATTCCAACCACTTTAATCTCCTTATTAAGAATTCTCATCTCTGGATCATAACAACCTTGATTAACATAGATGTTGACAAAATATTCACATGAACACTCAGATACGTGGGGCTTTCTCTGTACAGATCTTATTCTAGCATCAACCCACCCCTATAACAAATAGATTTGGTTGGTCAAGATTAAAAATCAAGCAGCCACAGCTCATAAACTTGAGGAATATTATCTATAGGACTTTTACAAGTGGACCAAGTAACATGCAAAAATAACATAGCAAAAGACCATAAATGAAGAGCTGAGTAATGTGGAAAGTTAACACCAATATTTCTTATTCCTAAAGCAGGTTAATCCTGTGCAAAGATAACATTACAAAAGGCCATAATGAAGAACGAGGCAGTGTGACAAATATTAACACGAATGTGTCTCATTCATAAACTAGATGAGTTTTGTTTGGCTATCATCTAGATGAGGAGAGACTGAACGACAAGTGAATCTATAATTTGTCTAGACAGATTAGTGAGAACAATGTCAAAATCAAGAAAGAACCAGAACTTATCAACCGCATAAGTACATCAGTACATGCTTTCATCATTTTCATCACCACGGGCAAAGAAAGTTGATTTACAACGAATGAGATGGTATGAGTGTTTTGCTCCTATCCTTGCAAGTCTAATAAATCCAATAAAAAAATAGCTTCAAGATTCAGCTAAGAAATCCATAAAGTTCAAGGACCTCAACTAAGGGAATTACAAGTTAAAAAGATCACTTACAGGTTCAAGACAAATTTTCCCTGAACTATTATCTTGTTGAGAGCATGATAACACACATACATCAATTCCAGGTCTTAGAAAACAGGAGCAATCTGATAGAGTAGCTTTTCTTGACCTTATCCGAATGTCTGAATCAGGACCTTTCTTCAAAACTCTGTTTTGGTTATTGATAAAATGTAGGGTTGAAGTTCCCCCCTCAATTTTTATGAGTTCCACAGCTTTCCATGAATCAGAGAGAAATGCCTCAAAGGCTGTTTAGAGAATTTTGATGAAGATGATATTATACAAGAGTCTCTACCAAAGAATGTGAATGGAAGTGGTAGGAAGAGGAAGGCTTACGGTGAGATTTCAATGGATGCTTTGATTGATGTAAATTCCTCTTTTTGTGCGACATTGATTGTAACAGCTAATTCACTGTGATTTTGTACATTGAGGATCTACAGGAGACGACTAGCCACAGCAAATATAGATTCAGACTCCTGAACATAAAGGCTTCAACCAAGTTTGGAGAAACCAGCTAAACATTGACCTGAAACATTAAAATGTGCAAATAAAAAAAAAGGGCTTCATTTAGCCAAGAGGATCATTCAAATCCTGAAACATCTTTCCATCCCTCATTCATTATGATCTACCAGCTCTAAGACCGACTCAATGTGTTTGTTTTAGGGATGCCAAAGTCTTTCAGTCTTTTTTTTTCCTCGGCAAACTGAAGGAAAAATGCGGTTCTAGACAAATAGTTAGCCAACAGTACCATTTTCTCTCTTTTTGACGTTTTTGTATCAGTGCATTTCAATCTCAGACCAAAGTTGCAACACGGAGCCACAAATGACTCCTTTGTTCTTTACCATGTTTTCTTACCTTTACTCGCCCCACCGAAGAATTCCATCAGGAAAAATAATAAAAAGGAAAGTCGGAGTTAAAATGCTGTATCCCTAATATTCACATAAATTCCTGCAAAATGCTAAAAGGCCATGGCTTTGGTTTGGGACCAAATCCGCAAATAAATAATATTTCCGCCTAATAACATTAACTTTGCTTTAAGCATGCATTAAGGGCTGAGAAAGAAAATAAATAGAACACTAGTCAACCTTCCCTTTCATCTCCCCGAGAAAATCAAACTTCCAACCATAGGAAATGACGACAAGCACAGAATTTAACTCTCATGGCATTTTTTTTTTGGGGGGGGGGGGTTAGAGCTTGAATACAATTCCTACAGCGCACGTCGGGTAAAATAACTTTTCGACTTCACCGAATGGTCACTCACTTTAACAATAGCTGATGTTATCCTAGCTTCAAAATGCAGAAAAGACAGAATCTACAAGTTTGCCGGAAATCTCAAGGAGATTGCAGACAAAACCAACTACTGAAAGTTCGGTACCACCTGCGAGTTGCTCTTGAGAGTGCTGCAATAGAACCTGCATTCTCTGAGAGCAGTGAAGTAAAACGACAAAAAGAAGAAGCAAGCCAAATTTTGGTGACCGTGACTTGACATTTCTTTTCCTCTTTTCGAAACTAGAAAATCCACCTTGCATCACTCGAAAAGAAAATCCCCCTTGCAACGGTATGAAAGCACCCCATCCGTTTTGAAGCCTTAGGCCAAATTTGTAATTAATTAAAAATAACTTATACTTAGAACTAGAAACAAATTTGCCAATCGTATATATACGGAGCAAAATATGGTGGTTCTAAATGATACATTTATTTTTTACCAGCTAAATGGATATACGAGCGGCTGAGGCTTTGCTCTCCTCCCTGCCCCTTGGACTCTGATAGTCAATAATTTAATTCCCTTTTATACTTATCAACGCACAGGGTCAACTCCTATAAAAGTTAATGAATATACTACCTTCTTTGGCCTAAAAAAAAAAAAAAACTACCTTGGCTTCTTAATATGATAACTAATAAACTAATTTGAATAAATTAAAAAAAACTAGTTAAATTAGTTATTTGTAATAAATGTATATTGTCTTTCCTAAAATATCATTTAGTCACGTGTATTAGATATAACTGTCATTATTACAAGGATTATCTTAAAAAAAATAAATAAACATGAGAGACAAATTGAATTTGAGTCATGTATTTAGAAATAAAAGAAAAATAAAATGAATTCTTATATTAAGCATAAGATACAATGTAGTACTACCTCCGGTCTTTAATATAAAACCTTGTTTAATTTTTATTTTGGTCCTAAATATAAGATCCCAATCCATTTTGTCTCTCATATTTTTTTTCTAAAGTAGTCATTCTAACAATAATAATTCTAGCCAACACACTTAATTAGCAAGGATATTTTAGGAAAAACAACACCTATTTATTACAAATAACTAACTTAACTTCTTTTCTTAATTTTCTCAAATTAATCAACTAGCTCTTATAATTAGGACTGGAGGTAATAATAAATTATAAATACCGTCCCGGGGTTGTACAACTTGTACTCGTATTTATTTCTTTCGCCTTATTTATGAGTAGCCCAGCGCATGGAGGAGTTTCTTCATTTTAAAATTTGGATATTTATTACCATGATAAATTAAAATTTATCTCTAATGTCAAGGGAGCTCTACAGTGATATTGTTGATGAAGTGTTTGAAAAATTGGTCTATTTCAGGATTTTGACTATATATATTTGAACCCTGCCCACACACACAAATAATGAACCTCTATCCTGACGACATTTTTCCGGTTTTAATCAGTTACATATATTTCTATTTAGTAGACGGTGGCATGCACTTCTGTCTTAGTGGCCATTCATCTATCAATGCTCTGTTTTAAGTGTTCTCGTAACGTTAGGCCAAAATTAAATCTGTAATGGTAGAGCAAGAGAATCACTAGGGGCACGTCCGTACGTTCGAACAGTTCCGAGAAAGTATGTGCGAAACGTTTTCGAAGAATCTAACAACAACAATCTCCTAAACTTGAGAGGCCATCTTGCAAGATTTTCTGCCAAAAGTTGACAAAGTTGGGAATCTGTGAATTTAAACATTGAAAGAAGAAGAAGGAGAAAGAATGGGGGTGGTGCATCGTCGTCCAGGAAATGGAATAATCTCCGTCGATTTCGACGGCAAAGGAAACATGAACATTTGTGTCTACAATGACAGAAGTCCAGGTTCTAACGGCTTCTTCTTTGGGGACAGACCATTCGACTTCTCACTTCCGGTCACCTTATTCCAAGTCTTCTTCATCGTCCTCTTCTCCCAGCTCATCTTCTTCGTCCTCAGGCCTATCAGAACACCCAGATACATGTGCCAGGTCATTGTATGTGCGCGCACGCTCGGTTGAATTTTTTTTCCTTCCTTCTCTTACTTTATTTTTGTAATTTTCATGCATGCTCAGAGAAAAAGCTTATGAGCACTACTGAAAATTTACAGGCCGGCATTTTGGTGGGACCTTCGTTTCTGGGGAACAACAGGGTATTCAAGGAGCAAGTGTTCATGGCCAGACAAGTTAGTGTGCTGGCGGTAGCTTCATTAATAGGACTCATATACGCACTTTTCATCCTCGCACTGAAAATGGACATAATATTGACTTTAAGATCGGCGAGAAGAACATGGAAGCTGGGTATAATATCCTCCTTGTTCAGTTTCTGGGTTATGTTAGGGCTTATCTACATGTACAGCCCCGAGAGCCTCCCAGATCTTCCAAGCGCACGTGATCGCATCCTTTTCTGTGTCAATGCCTCGTTGAGTAATTTCGCAGTCATCTCCCAATCCTTGATGGATCTCAACCTTATAACCTCCGAACTAGGTCAGATCGCTTTATCTGCGGCCATGATAAACGATATAGTACACGCGCTTTCCTATCTGGCATTGTATCTCGTCCACAGCAAAGAAGAGGGATCCCAAGCGCATTCACTTTTTCTCATATTGGTGAGCTTTTGGGGATTCGTGGGTTCATGCGTATTCATAGTACGCCCAGCATTGCTCGTGATTGCCAGAAAAACTCCGACGGGGAAACCTGTGAAAAAGGCATACGTTGTGTTGATACTCACGAGTGTGCTGGCTATGGCATTTATCTCGGACGTTATTGGTTTGTCTTTTCTCTTTGGCCCAATGTTCTTCGGTTTAATTATGCCCAATGGCCCTCCTCTGGGTACCACGATCCTGGAGAAAACTGAGAGTTTGGTGAACGAGTTCTTTCTCCCTTTGTCCTGGGCTTTCGTGGGCCAGAAGATTAATGTGTTTGGAATCTGGAATTGGGATGTGGTTTCCAGGATTAACTTCGTCATTATCGCGGGATACGTCGCCAAAGTGATTGGGTGCATTCTAATTTCACTGACCTACAAAATTAGGCCCAAACATGGCCTCATCCTCGGTCTCATACTCAACATGAAGGGCATTGTCGAGATCATCAATTATACCCGAATGAAGAGAGTTGAGGTTTCATTTATTATATTTCTTATCCTTCCTTCATTACCTCATTGTATGTTATGTAACATTATTGCAAAACTATGATATTAACTGGTGCTATTGATCGATCTTGCAGATCTTGGACGACCAACTGTACTATTTTATGGTTTTCTCTACGGTGCTAACGTGTGCAATTCTGCATCCTTTTATTGACCTCCTATACAAGCCTTATACTCGATTGGATAATCACAGTAAACGTTACCGACCAATAAGAACGATACAAAATAGTTACAGAAACCCTGAGTTTTGCATCATATGTTGCATACACAGTGAAGGCAATGTTCGAAGCCTCATGACCCTAATAGAAGCTTGCAACCCAGTTCTGTCAAGTGCAATTTGTGCCTACGTGGTGCATCTCGTCGAGCTCCTAGGTAAAAGCACGCCTTTTCTCCTCCCGGTGAACTTGAAAAGAAGAAGATTCTCTTCATTCAACTACCCCATCACCCTCCACATCATGCGAGCCTTCGAGAACTACGCAGGTAACACCGATGGTCTGGTCACTGTCATGCCCTTCATCAACGTCGCGCCCTACAAGAACATGCACGAAGCTGTGTGCAACCTCGCACAGGACAAGCTTATCTCCTTCATAGTCCTTCCCTTCCACGAGAACGACCAGTCGCGTGGCAGTCTCATGACCGTCACGATCCGCGACCTCAACCGAAACTTCCAGTTCTACGCGCCATGCACGGTGGGCATCCTGGTGGACCGGTTCTCGCAGCTGAGCATCAGCACGTCCGCAGGGCTCACCTTCCACGTGGCCATCTTCTTCCTCGGAGGAGCCGACGACCGGGAGGCTCTGGCATTAGGGAACCGAATGTCAGACCGGCCCAACGTAAGGATCTCGTTGTTTTACTTTGTGGTGAGGAACGATTACTTGAGAGATGGAAGTAGTTACAGCAAAAAGGACGATGAAAGTGACATGTTTAGTTGCAGATATGAAGGAGAAGGTGAAGAGGAAGAAAGGGCGTGGGACGAGAGTGCGATAGATGAGTTCAAGGCGAAGAGCTTAGGGAATGGGAATGTGTTTTGTGAGGAGATAGAGGTGGAGGATGGGATAAGGGTATTGGAAACAATAAGAAGATTGGAGGGAAACTATGATCTGGTCATGGTGGGGCAGAGACACAGTATGGAGGGTTTGGACGATCAAGGGATGTGCAATTTCATGGAGAATGTGGAGACCTTAGGGATCGTTGGGGATATGTTGGCGTCCACAGAGTTCTGTAATGGCATGGTTCCTATCTTGGTCATGCGATCTGCTGTGCAGCAATTGAAAAGGAATAATAGCTTAAGTTCCATCGCCATCTCTCAAGGCAGTTTTCTTTGAGTTTCTATGTATATGTATTCACTAGCTTACTTAGTTTCATTTGTCATTTATAGGGTTTAGATCAGTTGTTGATTTCAGCTTTCAACTTCAAGGTTCTATATATTCTTCCTGCGCCTCGGTTAATTAGCTCATCATTGTACATATTCTTTGACGGTAGCTGGATTATTTTTCCAAAGATTTCAAAATTCAAGGTGATAAACTTGAAAGCACTACTTTCGTGTGCTTGAAGCTGATTGACTTCAATTTTTTCAGAGGAAAAAAAATTAATTCTAATGCTGCAGTGAGAAAGAGTTAGCTAGCTAACTAGAAAGAGAGGACTCGGATTCAATTTCAATACATATCCCCCCTATGTGGATTTCTCCTTTCTTTTATTATCTCTCGTTACACAGTTTACAGATTCTTTAGTTTCTGTCAGTTCACAGAGGATCAGGAACAAACTGAACACAAATCTTGAATCCCTCCATGCACCTTGATGATTTGTTTGATTCCCCATACTAAGAGCTACTATTTTATTTATTTTGTTTATACAGAGGGAAGAGTAATCATACTATAAAAACAATAAATATAAAACAGAAAATAACTTTTGCTAATTATTATTAATGCTGTTGCCATCCCATTGCCATTCTTTTGTTCTTTTTTTTTTTTGGGCATCTCATCTTTCTTTCGCTGATAATTATTTGCGTTGAATTGTAAAAAAGATTGCAGGTTTATTATTGGCAAATTCAGACAAATCTTAATCAGCACTTTGGGCTTTATAAGTAATTAAATAAATTCTCAAGTAATTACCATTTACCAATTTTGTTGCGCGCGCATACATATTCGGCGAAAATAGTGAAGTTTATATCACTTGATAACTGTAATTTTTCCAATTAGATGTAGGTCAACCATATAGTCGTCTCAAAATTTTCAAGAAATAATGAATTTATTGATTTCTTCTTATAATTAAGTATGTGGAAAATTTTGGTTCCTAGCTAGTTCACATTCGTTAAAAAAAAATCCAGTATGAAGAAAAGCATCAACTAAATGTTACCAAAAAAAAAAAGCATCAACTAAATGTCTATAAAGCCACGGATGATGTGGAGGGAGACAATAAACACCTACTCCTCCAGTCCTTAATATAGAACCCAATTCTTGAGGTTGTTTTGATCCTAAATCTAAGACCCATTTATCATATTTATCAGTTTTCTCTAAATTACTCCTGTGGATACTCTATCAACCATAATCAAGTAGAAGAGGGAGAGAGGGTATTAAGAAAGATGATTATGGTGTTTTAGGAAAAATATGTCACTTTTCTTATAATTAACTAACTTACCTAACTTCCTTAATATAATCAAATTAGTTCAATATGTCTTATATTAAGGACCGGAGGAGTACAAGATAATAAGTCCTTCCATCATATTGCAAATATTTCAATATAATACATATAGTGCCATACGCATGGTACTAGCATACCATAATTGATTTCCTATTTGCACATACAAAACGTCTACATGGACCATTTACTTTTAACGTTAATTTACAGTCGTGCATTTATAATTGGAACCTGGCAGAGGTCAAAGGTCGAAAACAGCAAGATAAAATAACGAAAGCATATTTCACATATATTTTAATCCACCTGTTCAATCCCACTTTCTTATCAAGCAAATTAATTATGTCAAATGGTTAGGTGCCAGTTGATCATGTACGTGTAAGAATCAATCTTCTTGTAGGATTGACAATTGAAAACTAACTACTTCTAGTTACCCATCTTTAAATGCCCAGGAAATAACAGGAGACGCCTGTTTTTTGATATCTTAACCTCAAGATTATTAAGAACCCTGATTAAAGCCGTCTTTTTTTTTTTTTTTCCAGCCCATGCCTTTTGTTGCTGGAATGTAAGATTAAGATTCGGTATTGTGGTCATCACCTAATATACTTCAGTTGTATCAGACAACATAATCATCGTCTTGAGATTATATGGGCTATATGGAGAGTTACAGTTTTACACAAGCCGACTCTTCAATCATAGTGGAGTCAGATGGGCAATTACGTATCTGTGCAAGAAATGATAAACATGTGGGGTCTCACGGCTTTTGGAATGGGGATAATCCACTCGATTTCGTGCTTCCTGTCACCTTGGTCCAAATCGTCTTGGCCATTGTTGCTTCTCAGCTCGTTTACTTTCTTCTTCGCCCTTTTCGAACTCCCAGATTTGTCTGCAGCGTCCTTGTAAGTCCATTTCATCCATGTACCATCATCGATCCTTTTTAGCTTCTTGATTCGCTGTCGATGGAGATGATGAATTATTCTTTTTTAGCTGATATAATTGAGTTGGCGTGAAATTTCAGTCATAAATTTTTTACCTTTTTTTTCTTCTTGGAATTTACAGGGAGGCATGTTGCTAGGGCCTTCGTTTCTTGGGCACAGCAGCAAATTCGGGAACACTTTATATCCACCGAGACAAGCCGTGTTTCTGGGAACGGCGTCTACGATCGCCGGTGCCTATTTCATCTTCATCGCCGCACTACAAATGGACGTAACCACCACCTTAAGAGCAGCAAAACGAACTTGGAGATTCGGGATCGTACCTTTCCTCTCTTCTCTAACCGTTGTTTCAAGCCTCGTCTATGCAAATGACAGATCGCTCCCAAACATAAGATCTCCTAGCCTTCGTACCTTCTTCAGCGCCATAATGTCATTTAGTAACTTCATCGTCATTTCCGATTCCTTAAAGGAACTCAATCTCGCATCATCGGAACTGGGCCAAATTGCTCTGTCTTCCGCTATGATCAATGCCACCATGCAATGGCTAACCTTTTTACTTATGTCATTCGTGAGGACCACCGATTTAAAACATTCCGTTGAGTATTTGATCTGCTACTGGCTATTAATATACTTCTGTATATTTGGCATACGACCAATAATGCTGATGATTGCAAGGAACACACCAGTAGGTAAACCAGTGAAAGAAGTGTACATAATGCGTATTCTAGCTGGGGTCTTATTCATGGCAGCTGCGGCAGATGTGATGGGCTTATCCTTTCTTCAGGGTCCTTTGCTTTTTGGTTTGATCATGCCCAATGGACCCCCTTTAGGCACAACATTAATAGAGAAGACGCAAAATATAATGGCGGATTTTCTCATGCCTCTCTTCTTCATTTACATAGGAACCAATTCAAACATCTACGAGCTTCAGAGATGGTCGGAAATCACGACGCTTTTCTGGATTATACTCGTTGGGTACGTAGTGAAGGTGCTTGCTTGTTAGTCGCTGCATCTTACAATATTAGGGCAAAACATGGCCTCGTGCTTGGCCTCATGCTGAGTGTGAAGGGCATAGTTGAACATATGGCTTTTATAAGAATGAAGAGAATCAAGGTTGACTGTTTTTTTTTTCCCTTCTATATTGTCCATATCAAAGAACGTTAATATCTCATATTCTAACTTGTGCTATTATAATTGCTTTTGCAGGTGTTGGATGAACAAAGCTTCAGTCACTTGGTACTCTCTGTGTTGCTAATGACTTCGATCATCTAACCTTTGATTAAAGTGCTTTACAAGCCTCATGCTCGACTGGAAATATCTACCAAGCATGGAGGGATGAAGATGAGGATGATCCAAGACACTGTAAGAAACTCAGTTCCGCATTATTTCATGTGTATATAACGAGGGACATGTACACAGCCACGTGGCACTTCTGGAAACTTGCAACCACACAGAGCCCAATTTGCACCTACATGGTGCACTTTGTGGAACTGCTGGGGAAAAGTACACCTTTTCTGCTGCCCTTGGACCGCAAACGCATGAGAAAAACTTTGTCCATCAATTACCCAAACACTAATCATATAGTGCGAGCCTTCGAGAACTATGCCCAAAACTCTAATGGTCAGGTCAAGGCTCGGCCTTATGTCAACGTTGCTCCTTACAAGCAAATGCACGAGGCCATATGCAACTTGGCACAGGTCGAGAACGTACCTTTCCTCATTATACCCTTTCACGAAAATAATCAAACACTTGGTAGTCACATGATATCCTCCATTCACGATCTGAATTCCAACTTCCAACTTTACGCACCCTGCACCGTGGGAATCCTCGTGCGATAGATACTCCCAAATAAGCGTCAACAGCTCGGATCAGTTCTCTTTCCATGTGGGGATTTTCCTCGTCGGTGGACCCGACGACCGAGAGGCACTGTCTTTGGGTATTCGGATGACAACAAACGAGAAAACAAAGGTGTACTTGTTCTCCTTTGTGATGAAGAAGGATGGGAATAAAGATGAAATATCTGATAAAAGAGAAGAGGAAGAAGATGAGAAGATGGAGAGCATGTTGGACGATAGCTTCATTGACGAGTTCAAGGTGAAGAGCATCGGGAACGACAAAGTCAAAATTGAAGAGATAACGATGGAGGATGGGATTGGGGTGTTGGAGGAAATTCCGAAATTGGAAGGACAACATGATCTTGTGATGGTAGGAAGGAGACACAACATGGTGAATTTAGATGACGAGGAAATGTCAACTTTGATGGAGAATGTGGAGACATTAGGGGTGTTTGGAGATATGCTGTCGTCCACAGATTTCTGTGGTGGAAGGGTTCCGGTGGTGGTGATGCAGTGTGGAGGACACAGGTACGGGCATTGGCTCAATAGCAACCATACAACTTCTCCATTATCAAAGATGAAGCCTTTCGGAAGTTTCAGCTCTCGATCTTTTATATAACCCAATTCATCACAATCACATATTCACAGTATAGTACAGTGGAAGAGAATTTAGAGTTTAATTACCCAAAAAAAAAAATTATGAAGAAGATCCCTTTCATGTTGTTTTTTTTTTTTTTTGACAGAGCATCTATCTAATTTCGCTCATTGCGAACTTAAAGGGTTCCCTTGTAGATAGATACCCTTCAGGTTTGAAGCCATGTGCCTTTGAATGGACGCTATGATGATGATGTATATTAACCCTTAGAATATAAACACATGGGGCTCTTTTAATTTGATTTGTCTTTGTTATTAAGATCTAAATTGAAGACTGTTTGTTCTGAGCTTAAACTGTGGACACACTGGTCACTTTCGGTGATGTTAGAGAAAGGTTAAGAAATCAAATGCTCAGTTAGCAAAAAAAAAAAAAAAAACAAACAAACAAACAAAAGTTTGGATGAGCATGCTGCTGTTTTTTTTTTGGGGGGGGGGGATAATATCAGTTTTCTTCCTAGGGCGAATTGGAGATTGAAATTGCCCCCTCACAAATGAAGCCGGATAGGTTTTGTCTCTGATTTGTCACCATTAATGACGATTAACGTTGAACTGTAGAAATAATATGGATGGTGTTGAAATTTCAGTTGGAATTTCTTGCTTATAGAATCAAACAATTATCATACTCATCTCGAGTAATTTTTAACAATCTATTTACTTCATGTCTTTTTGTCCGAGCTTAGTGGTTCGGGATTGATATTTCTGTTCTTGGAAACTATGGGCTTTTGAAACTTTGTGTGTGTGTGTGTGTGTTGCAATCCTTGGGATAGTAACAGTAGATGTTGTACTTATGATGGCTCTATTAGAGAATAATTGGTATAGCGGGGACAAGGCTTTGATGGATAATTACAAACCCAATGATATGGAAGTTTTGAATAGAGTTAAATGCCAGAGCCAAGCATTTTAAATTCGGAAACTTCATTTTTTATTATAGCATCATCAAATATTGAAAAGAATACACTGAATACAATTAAAGCAAGCTGCGATTTGCCTATCTGATGGCGACAACACAAATTATCTATGTAACGAACAAGAAACAGAGCAAAAACAAACTTTCCCCAAATGCAGGGAAATTCCTAACAATTCAAGAAATATCACAGCTCTCATCATTGGGCTGACGCTTCGAAGAAGATCCTAACAAAGAGGCAGATCCGCTGGAGGTGGCTCAATGGATTGCAATTTCCCGACTCCATTCTCTACCAAGAACACCATGGCCAGGCCCCAGTTTATATGAACATCCAAATGACAATGCATAATCCAAGCACCTGCATTATATAATCAACGACATCAAATTCAGTTCCAATTATTGTTGCCACATTTTATATAAATTTTGAAGACGCTGCGCTACAAAATGATTCCTTATGACATACCTGGATTATCAGCAACGAATCGGATTACTGCCCATCCATTTGAGGGAACAGCGACGGTGTTCCTGAGAGGCGGATCAACAAGGTTGAATTTCGCGGTATCTTTTTTGGGGTTGAAATTCCCAAACCCTTCTGCTACGATGTAGAAATCATATCCATGAAGATGAATCGGGTGGTCTTCGGGGGTCACAATGTTGGTGTCCTGCAGAACAACCTGAACCCTCGATCCGTACTTGAGCTTGTACACCTTGGTTCCCGGAACGGGTTGCCAGAGCGAGCGGCTGACGTTGCCAGTGTAATCAAACTTCACCGGAGGGTTGGCCGGGAAATCAGTGGTAAACACGTTCGGGACTCCGAGCTGATGGGCCTGGAGGATGGAAATGTTCCTCGGGAGGACGAAAGACACATTGTTCATGCTCGCAGTGAATCGAGTGCCATTGGGCCCCTGGCATCTTCTCTTTCTGAAGTTGGGCGGGCACTTGTTGAGCCCAAGGCCCACAGTGAAGAAGAGGTTCTCATCGATTTCGGTGGGCACTTCGGCTTTTCGCGGGCTTCGGAATTTATTGCTGAAGGCGGTGACGGTGTTGGTGTCGTTGTAGGCGGGAAGTTGGGGCATCACCGGTTTGATGCTGGGGCCTCCTTTTGCGTGATGGTTTGCGGATTTGTATTGGAGAATGGCGGTGGTGGTCGTATTGTCGAAGGGTGCGTTTTGGGCGGACTGGTAAGCACGCGCCGCCATGTAGTAGCGGGAAGAGGGTTGGTCGCCGGTGATGAGAACGTCGGTGGTCTGACCAGGTCCTAGCATGAGAACGTTGGTGGTGAAGGGCTTGAGGTAGGAGGCATCGGCGCCGACGACGGTGAGCTTGTGGTTGGCGACGGTGAAGAAAAGGGGCTGATTGAGTGCAGCGTTGATGACTCGGAGGAGATGAGTCTCGCCGGAGTCGATCGGAACAACAGTGGTATCTGCAAAGCGTTGACAACGACCACGTAAAAAAAGCCAATTCACTTTTACTGTGCAGTTAAAAGCTAATTAACAAAACGACTCGTCCCCGGATGTTATAAAAATATTAAATATAACGCATGTGATAAAAAGCTCAGTCACTTTCCGGTGTATGAAAACTAAAAGCTAAATTAACATGATACGTTGATGTGTATGGTTTGGAGGAGAAAGAGAGAAGAAAGAAGAAAGAAGAAAACCTTGGCTTGAGCACTTGTAAAGATCGCCAGGCTGACCATTGATGGTGTAAGCATCGGACACGTTTGGAGCGGCTCCTGTTCGAGTGGCCTGCCTCAGAACATCAATGGGGTTTGTGTCCCACCATTCCCCTGCAATGTATAATCATTGTCATCATCATCATCAATAATCACGAAAATTCCTGTCGTGACTTGACTTTCCTATATCACTGTTTGCCACCTTTATTCTCTTGCTCTGATAAACACATTCACTAAGCGATGAAAAGGTAATAATTAAAATGATTGATGATGATTACCGAGAAGAATGGGTGTCTCGCACTTTGGTTTAGGGAAAGGGTAGGGCTCTCCTTCCCTGGGACGAATGATGAGAGCTCCATAAACAGTGGCTCTAAGCCAGGAGCTGTGAGCGTGCCACCACAGTGTGCCCTCTTGACCTTGAATTGTGAAACGGTACGTGTAGCTTCCTCCTGGACGAATAGGGCACTGTGTCACAAACTCTGGTCCATCTGCCCAGCCAGTTCTCATTTGTCGAACTCCATGCCTGATCCATTAGTTAACATCACCCAATATCAATCTCTGTGTGTGTGTGTGTGTGTGTAAAGACACCCCGTAATAACACACTTGCAAGAACATAGATGCAGGGACCAAAAAAGAAAAATGATATGTACCAGTGAATGGTGACGTTGTAACGAGCTTTGTTGGTGACTTTTACGACCAAAGTGTCTCCGTTATTGATCTCCAGAGTTGGGCCAGGGAATTGACCGTTTACTGTGATGGTGTTGTGGGTTTTGCAGAGCCTCTTCACTTTTGCAGCTTGAACCTGCACCCATCAATTCCAATACCTCATTAACTGTTAGCCACAAAAAACAACATTTATAGAGAGAAAAGAAATTCCTCAGAGAGAGAGAGAGAGAGAGAGAGAGAACGTACAACAAACTGGTGCTCATGAACTCTGGCATTTGCAGAAGACAATGCCGAAGCTAGAAGAACTAGAATGACCAAGAGGAGGGATGAACCATGAATGATCTTGAGAGCCTCCATCGTTGAACTGTGAGTGATGAGGAGAAATAGACTTCAATGTGAATGAATGATAATGGGTTGTGTTGGAGATGGTGGGAGAGAAGAGAACAGGGGGCCCTTTATATAGAGAACAGACAGATTAATGAGGTTAATACGACATAGAAGGTCAGAGTGGAGGGCAATTTCCTTCAAACCTATGGTAGTTGTTGCACCCACTAGTTTTTAGTGTCTTTCATTAATGCTTCTTTCACAAGTCTTCATTTTGAAGGTTCAATTTTTCCAAGAGCTAGCATCATTACTTTTTGAAATTTTGTTCAACTAATTAATTGCCTGTTTTTTAAACTCCCCCCCCCTCCCTTCTTCGTCTCTATTGGCTTACGCGTGAAAAGGATGAGGATTAGTTCAATTTTTCTTTTACCCATTTCGTTAACTCCAAATGATAAACAAAAAGGAAATTAGTTTCATCTTTGCTCAGCATGAAGTCAAGTTTTCAATATAAAATTATATACGAGCGACATGTTTGAAACGGACTATACTACAAATCACCCGCGGAAAGCAAACATAAACTAACCATGCCGACATCCAACAAATCAATCCAAGTCATTCTTGTAAAATTTGGGATGAGACTATTGTTTTGGAAGAATATGTTTCTCACTAGTACAATTGGATTAAGGAAGTTATAGTTCCAGCATTTTATGATTAAATATTAGAAACAATAATACTACTCCGGTCCTAAATATAAAACCCATTTTGTAGTGTAAATGTGTTTATATTTAGAATCGGAAGTATTTTTTTGCCAGTGGAAAGAATAATATTTTTATACATTATAACACTTGAATGCTTAGAAGTTATCACAAAGAGACCGAGAATTATTTAATTTATATTTTCCCACGTTCTAGGTCGTTATAAAACTAAAGCATAAAGATATATCCGACTGTTTCAATAATGCTCAAAGTCAATCATACTATCAACTTGACTCCATCATAAACATCAATTATGACATATATATAAAATAATAAATAAAATATTAGAGAAAGAATATTATCATTTCATTTTTCTTACGTTTATTACTACTAAATATATCATACTAATCATTTACAGTTGACTTCGCTTTACATAATTGATAAAACGATAATAATTCGTCTAATAAGATATTTTATCAAATATGATAACTATATATCCCACTTTAAGTTCATAGAGGACCAAATTCATATTACCATGTACCACCCGTCACATATAGATGAAGTCCCAAATTCTAGCCTCAATATGTTTATGGGCATTTATATTAACATTAGGATATTGCATTGAAGCTTGAAAAACAACAGGATATTGGCTCGGCTATAACTTAAAGGGCATTGCCAACTGACATCTTATTCAGGCCTACTCTTTTGTTTTTATTCAAGGAAAAAACCTGCTCTCCCCCTAGAGTTTTTGGTATGATAAACACGTAATTATATGAGACTTAATACTCAAAAACTAGTAGGACGACCCTTTAATTTTGGAAGAAATGTTATGTGTGAAAAGTGGACTATATCGTGCCTACTGGCAAACAAGCTAATATACTGATGATAATGGAAGGGATTTAATTGGATCCAACAAGAATTTAGTTACACAAGCTCATAAAAAGCAACTTGGAGCCCTAAATTAGGTGACCTATCACCAAACATTTCACACTTGGATATGATGAATCTGCTTCCTGAATACTGACAAACATGTCACACTCAAAGATCGTTATGTACCCACATATTCCATCCCAGAAAGAAAAATTTCAGAAGGTCACCAAATTGCCACGTATTGGGCAAAATGTCTGGCCATGGTTTTTCAATAGTATTCTTTGACCCATAAATCAATTAGTGTATATCAACTAATGAAATAATCAATTAATTGTAAATAAGTTAGCATATGTTTACCAAAATATCCTTAACGAGGACAAGTGAATAATGGCAAAGTACGTATGACCATTGAGTCTTATTGTATATATAATAAACTTAGATAATTGACTTTTGAAGAGTAAATGTCAATTCATTACTAAGTTCTTAGTGGATTTATCTAATTTGCTCTATGTTGATCATGTCTCTTTCTAAGTCAGCTAGTTCACCAGCTACGTACTGTGAACTTAGTTACCAAACCTTGCTTTTGGCGTCAGAAAGCTCCCTCCAGCTTATACAAATGAACGTGTAGTGGGGTATGGCATGATATATAGGGTATGGGAAAGCCTTGGACTAGTCTATTCTACTTCTTAAAATGCCCTTTCTTTACTTAAACCACAAGCAACACAGAATAATGCTACCTCTGATAGTTAGTTACGTCAACCCATATCCATTATAAGAGCCTGGTCTGACCCCTTCGAGGATGGATTCTTGTGATTTGATTAAAACAGTCCCCACACAAGATTATATTGGTGAGATTTAATTTACATCGGTGGGTTATGTCACAAATCTTTGGTCTCTTTGAATGAAAGCATGTCAAACTGGTAAGAGATACCAGACAACAAAAATGGTTAGCAGTGGATTGGTGAACAAGAAAGAACCATGTTTATTGAAATTATTAAGTTGGTGGAGTTTGTTATTGACATTTCATAGATTCTTGAGAATGAAACATATTAAAGTGATCACTCTCAAGTCGTTATTAATAATGTCAAAGAGTGGTGAAAAAATTGACAGATTAGCAGAAAATAATGCATTGTTTCCAAGTCAAATTTTGCAGGTGCCTTGTTTGCTTAAACCTTCCAATCTTTACTGATCAATTTTCAGTTTCGTTATTTGACTTGTCAATATTTTATTGGGCAGTTACAAGTAGGTACTTGTAAACTTAAGCTTAATTATTATCACTATTTTCTGTTCTATCCAGTGCTGCGTATAGGCCATCGATAGTGGTTGGTGGAGTTTCTGCCTCGCTGGTTCAGCAATATTTATTAAATTAATTTCGGGCCAAAAATATTTATTAAATTAGTAAAGAATATGTTGCAACATATGGTAATTTTTGCATCACAAAAATAGATAATAAACCTCCCACCACGTGCAGTTGATCAAAATATTTATATAACTTTCTTAATATATTGCAGTAAAGAGATAAGCCTGATTTGTGTGATTCTTATCATTTTGGAAAAAAAGTAAGTACATTTTGGCCTCCTAAAAGTATCCCAAAATTTTTTTTTTAAAAAAGTGAATTTAGTTACTGCTTGAATTTTACCCTACTTGATGGACGGATGCAAGCCAAAAGCAATGATTATGGAGATTGCACGAGATTGAACAACAAACCCATAATATTGTCGTGGTTCTGAAGATGGGGCCTTGCTGAAGTTCACGCTCAGAGCTACATGCATTATGAGGTTTACTTTCTGTGAGAGTGCACATGTTATAACATATAATGCCTTTGAATTTCACACTAACAAGTTCTTCACATAGCCTGCATGTGGCCCTCCCTGTGAAAGGTCGAAAGTCGCTATAATCTGTTGCATCAAACTTTTATTTGCACTAATTCCCTGTTTTAAGGGATCCAATGTCTTGTCCTATTGGGGGCATAAGTGCCCAAAAATTCCACCTTTGGTTTTCTCTCTTGCTTTTAATCACTGATGATCTGTTTAGGGTGCTAATTTGTAAGCAAATTAAAGTGATTTTAATTTCTGTGGCATGCAATAATCTTCAGAGGTGGCTGAACTTATGATGTGATAAGCAGTGACATTATAATTGGCTGTGAAAATAATGCTGATAGTAACTAGAAATTATCCAAATGATCGTGGCTTTATATCCATAATTCCTTTGGAAACTATTAAGAACTCATCCGTGTCATAGTCATTCATTTAACAGAGGATAATGGAGGTGATGATCCTAACAATGGCACCTCACGTACAAAAAATATATTCTGCATGCATACATTCCACTTAACAGAATCCAGCCAGATGGTTATCTCTTTCTTCAAAATGTGTGTCTTTAGATATATACAAATATATATGACTTTTGAGCATTCGTTTCTCCGTTTTCATATATGTGTATATGACTTTTGAGTAATCTTTTCTCTGCTTTCTTTCCTCTCCTTTCACACTTCAGAACACATGACACAGAAATTCTCCATTTTCTTCGACTTTATTTCCTTCCCCTTTCATTGTCTGTTTTAACTAGCCTGATTATCAGATACTCATCCTCACAACCACATCCTCGATAGCTTTTTCTTTTATCTCATAATATGCCTGGGTTTATACATTGACTTATTTGATTCTTGCTCAGAAGTTCTTTTACGGAACAAAGACAACCAACTAATAGTTGTCATATCAGTGTGACTTTGCCTAAAAAACTATTCACTTTATAGCAGCAAGTATTAGCTAGCTAAAGCATATGGCTACAGGCTACTTTTCAAGAGTGACAGAGAAACATTCAGGGCCACATCGTTGGTTGATTTGCAGCATATGGAGTAAAACTTCAACTCGAATCTTTACAAACTGGGAATGAATAATCACGGCACCAATCCTTGATGCAAAAAGCCAAATTAATCACAGCTGACATCCAGCTAGTGTTCCATTAAATTTGAAACTGGACTGTGCTTGATTATTTGATAGCCAACGCGTTTACATTCTTGTTTGCTGTCTGATCAACAAAAGAAGTGTTACCAGGTCCCTGAATTTTCCGAGAGGATAGAAAGATGGGTTGTGCCAATCTGTCATGTGATTGAGGAAAGAAAACGTAAACAAACTAAGGGAGCTAGTAAAACTTTGGTTTTTTTTTTTTTTTTTTGGGAGGGGGTGTTCACACAAGAGTATTTCAAAGATGTTTGGCTTGCAATATAAGCAATCTTCCGAAATCCACATATGTAAGTATGTGATTCTGTTGAATAACAAAACTGCTTAATTAATACTCCTCCGGTCCTTAATATAAGACCCATTTAACCAATTTGATTCAATTAAAAAAGTTAGGTAAGTTAGTTAATTATAAGAAATGTGACACTTTTTCTTAAAATACCATAAACATCTTTTTTAATACCCCATCTTCCTCTTCTACTTGATTATGGTTGAGAGAGTATCCATAGAGGATTTAGAGAAAATTGATAAATATGAGAAATGAGTTTTATAT